TTTTTTTTTTTTTGAACAAGGACAATTTTATGGGAAAAGGGAAGAGTTGTTTCTTATTAAATTATTAGATATGCATTTCAAATACAGCTTAATAAAATCATTTCTTTCCTTATTTTTCAAAAAATTTTCCATTTCCATTACCAAAACCAAACAATAAAAAACATCTTCTATAAAAAATTTTTTCATAATATTCCAAATATTAAAAAAATAAATCTTTTAAAAAAGAAAAAAAATATTTTTCAAAAAAATAATTAGGCTTTGTAAGTAGAAGCATTTTCGACAACTAAAACTAAATGATAATATTGAAATGTTTCTTTTGAATGAATAAGTAAGCATTTTGTGCTTTTGAATATCGCTCTTCATTAGGTATTTTAAAGTTTATTTTGAAAATTTTTTACTCCTAGCATTTTTATATGTTTTACTTAGAAGAGAGGATTCAAGCAACTCTTAGGATTATTTTGCATTTTAAAGATGTTTTTACTGAAGGAGGAGTTTATACAATTTTAAATTTCGGTGTTTGTTTGAATAAAGATCCTTATAAACCAACCATATATACATACAAAATTGTTTTTAATTTTAAGACTACTCAGAATTTGCTTAATGATTCCAATATTCTTTATTATGCATTTTCTTTCATTGAGTTTGATAAGATTTTAAACTAAACTCAAGAAAATATTTTTGGTTAAATCTTCAATTTGGTCCCTGAACTATTGTATGAACCCCCGATTTGGTCCTTAAACTAAAAAAATCCCTAATTTAGTCCCTAAACTATTGTACGGATCCCCGATTTGGTCCCTACTGTTTACCAATTTGCCTGAAGTTGATCCTTTTATACCAAAACAACTGACGTGTCTCGTTATTAATGTGACACGTGACCGTTAAGTAATTGTTTTTTGCCGTTAAGTTATTATTTTTTATCGTTAAATATTAGATACATTAGTTTTTTTTTATACAGAAGGACTAATTTGGGACAAATTGGTAAACAGTAAGGACCAAATAGGGGGTCCGTACAATAGTTCAAAGACCAAATCAGGAATTTTTTTAGTTCAGAGACCAAATTAAAGGTTCATACAATAGTTCAGGAACTAAATTAGATATTTAGCCAATGTTTTTTTAGTTAGTATATTTATTTTAAATAATTTCATTATATTTTTATTTATTTTAATTTATTTAATAAAAAATTGATATAACAAAAGTTTATAAAAAATTATTAAGTGAATTAAATATAAAAAAATTATAAATTTTTTAAAAAAATTTAGAAATTAAAAATTATATAAAAAATAATAATAAAACTAATACTCTTATTCGTTTGGAGTAGGAGCTAAAGTCCTAAACACATTGCTTTGATTGGTTTTGATGATAGTTAGATGGCGGGCTGTAGGCCCTCCTGCTGCTTGGTATCATGATCCACCGTGTTGATTGCTGACCCACACCTACCCCCACTCATTTATTCAATTTAATTTAAGCTTTGTTTGATTAGAGAGCATTTTCATTCAGAAAGTTTTTATTAAAAAATAATTAAAAATATTATATATAAAATTAAATAGTATTATATAAAAAGTATTGAATTTTGTAATGAAATTTTATTGAATTATTAATTTTATTATATTTAAAAAATTAATATAAGAAAAATTAATAAGAAAAATTATAA